TGAGAAAGTTTAAAAAATCGTGGGGAAAGACCATTATTTATTGTTTATGACGAGGGACATAATTTATCCGACCAACAAACTGATTTATTATTGGAATTGAAGCCGAGTGTGTTTTTAATTGCCAGTGCCACCATGAAATTTCCCCAAAAACTAAAAGAACAGTATGACGAATTAAAAAGAATAAATAATTGAGAAAATAAAGATTTTATAACTCGGGTTGACACTGGAAAAGTGGTAGAAGCCGGTTTAGTGAAGAAAATAATAAAACTAGCCGCTTATGAGACTCCCATGGAAGAAACAGTTTCTTCATTAGTGGAAGATTTAAAACAAATTAAAGAACAAATTAAAATAACTAATTTACCAAACGAAAAACCCAAGGCTATTTATGTTTGTCGCACTAATGTCTTGGAATTTGACCCTACTTTGCAAGACGATATTAATCAAAATTTTTCGGAAAGAAAAGCCCCTCCAATTTTAATTTGACGCTATTTAGTAGAAAAATGTGGTGTTAAGCCGGAAAATATTGCCGTTTACTGTGATTTAAAATTTGCCAAAAATTATCCTAAGCCCCCAGAATTTAAATTATTTAGCGGTGGTGGTGAAAAAAAATATCAAGAATTTATTGCTGGTGATTATCAGCATATTATTTTTAATTTAGGCTTACAAGAAGGTTGGGATGACCCATTAGTTTATGCGGCCTATATTGACCGCTTTATTAATTCTAAAATCGCTGTCAAACAAATTATTGGACGAGTTTTGCGACAACCTAAACCCAACATTACCCACCAGTTACCGGAAATGCTAAATACCGCCCATTTTTATATTCAGATAGAAAAACAAAGTGCTTTTCAAGAAGTAATTGAGGAAGTTAATCAAGAATTACAACAAACTGCTCCGGAAATTGAGGTAAAAGTGGTAAGTTCGACTGAAAAGCCTGAATTAGTTAAAGTTCAAGGCGACTATGAAGTGCCAATTATCATTTGCAATAGTGTGGAAGCCGAACCAGAAATAAACAAAATTATCCAAAATATACCTGACTGACGCCAGGATAAAGAAAAAACCCAAGGCACCGGCTATCGCTCAATTACTAAAAAATATATTGACGAACAAGGTAATACTCAACAAATTTTAAGAGAAAAAATTGGGGAAACCAGTCGCACCACTGCTCGTGCCATTTTTTTTCGAGAAATTATTCGCAAACTGCCCCAAGCCCGCGGAGTTTTTTGTTTAGATGAACCTAAATTCGATGCCCTGGTTGGTTCTGAATCGTGAGTTCACAAAGAAATTATTGAAAAAATCAACAAAATAGTTGATGTTTACTTAGAAAATTCTTGTCTCGAACAAAGTTCCGTGGAAAATTATAAAATTCCTGATATTTTGCTTTATAATCCGCAAAAGTCATTACCATTCAAAAATAGTCTTCATGAAAGATATTCCCAATTAAACAAATTAGAAACTGAGTTCGCCCAAGAGTTAGATAAGTTTGCTGTAAAATGGTGTCGTAATCCTTCCCGAAATGGTTATGCTATTCCTTTAATTACTCGTGGTGCTACCCAAAACTTTTACCCGGATTTTTTGGTTTGATATAAGGATAATGTTATTGCTATTGACACCAGTGGCGAGCATTTAATTAAAGATAAAACCGACCGTAAATTACTTAATATTTTGCCCTCTAATAATAATTCTCCACACACATTGGTTCGTTTTATTTCCAAAGGAAAATGGAATAAAGAAGTAGAAAAAATTGATGATAATGGTTGGACTCTATGAAAAAGGCGAATAAATGATGGAAGTTTATCAGTTGTTAATTTGGAAAGTTTACCAGAACTTATTGAGTTAATGTTAGAAAAATGAACTAAAAAATAACTTAATGGAATCCAAAAAAATAAAAGACACCCTTTTGCTTCCTCGGACTAACTTGCCGTTGAAAAATACTAATCATTTAGAAACGGAAAAGAAAATTAGAGAAAAGTGGGAAGAAAGAAAAATCTATCAAAAAGTATTAGAAAAAAACCGCAATAATCAGCCTTTTATCCTCCATTCAGGCCCACCATATGCCAATGGTAAATTGCATATTGGCCATTTTTTAAACTTCATTATTAAAGATATAATTGTCCGTTTTCAGGCCAGGGAGGGCAAATATACTCCTTTTTTACTGGGTTGGGATGCTCATGGTTTACCGACAGAGCATAAAATGCTCCAAATCCACAAAGACAAAAAAAACAACTTGCGGCCATTTTGTCATCAATTTGCGTTGGAACAGGCTCAAATCCAACGCGAACAATTAAAAAAATTGGGATTATTTACTGATTATGATAAATACTACATTACCTCGGACAAAAATTACGAAGCCGAGCAATTAAGAGTTTTTGCTGAATTAGTGAGAAAGAATTTGGTTTATCAAGGATTCAGACCTATTTATTGGTCTTGCGGACACGAGACCGCGTTAGCCGAGGCCGAAATAGAATATTACGAAAAAAAGGATACTTCTCTGTATTTTAAAATTAGATTAGCGGATATTTTTTTTGGAAAAGAAAATGTTAGTCTTCTCATTTGAACCACCCAACCTTGGACTATTCCGGCCAATCATTTGGTGGCGGTCAAAAAAACGGCCTCTTACGCCCTGGTTGAATATAACAATGAATATTTAATAATTCTTGAAAATAAAATTTCTCTTTTAGAAAATCAAAGTATTAAAAATACGAGTATTGCCGAAGGCCAAAAATGGCACAGGCAAAAGTTAAAAATAGAAAAAATATTTTTGGGCGAAAAATTGCTAGGATTAACTTATTTTCATCCTTATCGGAAAGATGAGCAGTTTACTGCGAGCCTTCTTAAAGATATTCAAGGATATATCGTCGATGGCAGTGATTTTATTAAGGAAGGGGAGGGAACAGGTCTCGTTCATTTAGCCCCTGCTTTTGGAGCTGAAGATTTTTCAGTAGCGAAAAAAGAAAAATTAATGATTGAATGCCCGCTGGAACCTAATGGAGTTTTCAACGAAAAAATTGCTATTCCGGAATTGGTCGGCAAGCACTATTCAGAAGTAAATAGTTTAGTTATTGTTGATTTAGAAAAA